TTGTACAAAATAAAAAAAAAAATTCACCGTATTTTGTAAAATTTTTTTTTGCTAAAATAAATTTGTGCAAAATTAAAAAAAAAAATTTAGTACTGAAATGGTCTCATTATCTCCGTAACCGCAATAAACATAATATGAAAAAAAAAAATCGTACCCACAACTTAAATCTCTGGTTACTGTTATTGTCTTTGGATTTCAAGTGACTCTTTCAATTTCCTATTGCCATTGATGGAGGTTCACCTTTTATAATACCAGGCCATGGAATTGCTACAGAAACATCTTTAAATGGGAAATGTTCGTGACCTCGAGCAGTGATCACAGTTCTTTTCCCTGCGCCTGTATTTCGAGGCTCCAAACAAATACCTGAGAATTTTCACTTGCACTTGTGACATATTTTCCATCCGAAGTAAATGAAGCTGCAATTTGACAACTGATATTTCGAAGGCCTGATACCATGAAACATATGCAGTATTATTGACTGAAACTAACCAGTACAAAGTTTAAAGCAAGAATGAAAATAGATAAGAAAATAAAATATCAAATGTTGTTTGTTGAGAGGGGTACCTCTAAATTTAAAGAAGATTTCTGAACCATTCAAAATTCATATTCGAGAATCAGCAGAAGCAACGAGTACTTTAGATGGACTGATTGGAGAAAACTGTGCAGAAGTAAGTTAGGTTATAAGTGATTTAACCCCAAAAAACAATGTGGAATGTCAGAGTATATTTTTATGGACTTCAATGCAACTTGTAAGGTTACCTGGAAACCAGTATCTTTTTAGCATTAACCTTCTTGTTTTGAATGTTAATTTGTTCTAACTGACTTAATTTGCAATCTACATCATCAATTAAAACAAGAATATATAAAAATTTGATGGTGAGATGGGAAATTTAAATAGCAAACGATATACAAAGTTGATTAAGAAAGAGCAAACCATACCATCAGTACTGTACATTCGACAACTGCCCTTATGTGAACCAATTAAGGCACCCTTCAATAATGAAAACATATCTTCAATTTAGAAAGGGAACGAAATTATCTATGATGTATTTGAGGAAACGATTTCATAAGAACATTTTAATTAGGTAAAAAACCCAACACAGTTAATGATGACATATGAGCTTTGTTCAATTGGTGCAGTTTCAATGTGACTCCATTTAACTTCAAGGAAATGACAATTACAGTATAAGGACAAGACTATGACAACCGTTTGGTTAACATTCAAATCTTTTAAAGTACCAAAAGATGGTTCATTAATGTCCATTGATTTAGACTCCTTCCCCCTTCCCAACTATACCTAATTATACCCATGGGCCATGGTGAAGTTGAATATAACTACAGTCTACAATTATCAGGAGTAAAACCGTGAATGTTGTACCAGGAAGAACAGTTTCAAGCAACCACTAGACAGCAAAAGTTACTTAGAAGTTAGAAGGACCTGGCCATCTGGGGTGTATCACGCAGCAATAACCATTTCATGTCGATCAGTCCAATCAAAAAATTCCTATCATGTATGTTCCAAATTTTAACTTTTGCATCAAGTGACCCACTTATGAAATAATCATCGTCCATAGGATTGAAATGTATGCAAGTTACTGCCAAAGAAAAAACAAACCAAAAGCCATAAGTAGGTTTGTAGTTTGATAGACTCAAACTTTAGTTGAAGTTAAAATGGAATGGTATCTTACCATAATCAATATGGGCAAATAACTCTAAAAAGTTACCCGTTTTCCAGTTCCCATAACCTTACAGTTTTGTCCATTGAAGATGAAAGCAGTTGGTGCAACTCCATCAAAGTCACCCTAACAGGTTATATAAATTAAATGTGGATAATATGTGACAAACATTAATAACATGGGCCCATTGTTTGATAAGAAAAATAAAATTACTCCATGATTTTATCAGGATCTGTTAACATATGCTAGCAAATTCCTTACTTTCTAAACATTAATGGCAAGAATTCTGAGAATCAAACCTGAGATCTAGACCAAGACAAGTCCAAAACATCAACCAAATGGCCCTTGAAAGAACAGACTGGTCTGTCTTATAGCGAAAACACAGTTTAAGGCACATGGACATAATCTGGAATGTGATTGCATTTTTTATTAGATGAGCCCTATCCCTTCTTCTTTTTCTCATGTAGATTACCTGCAGCTTCCAAAAGTCCTGATTGTTCCTGGGACAAGGATAGAGATGGCTGAAGTGGTGAACTAGCAAGCGATGGATGAAGAGGTGTTAAACTCCCTTCATTCATCGACATAACCTCACATTCCTGAACTTCCCACACATGGATTACCTTATCCTCTCCAGTACTTGCAAAAACCTTGTATCTGTACTAAACCTGATGGTCCAAATCGATCCCTCATGAGCCTGAATGTCTTGGCATAAATGTAAAGTACTCAACTCCTTATAAGATTTCCCTGTTTGTCTAACTTTCACCCACTGATTATTTCCATTTTTGGCATTCTTTTGATCCGTTGCTAATACATGTTTCTCGCCCCTCAGTATCATAGAATTTGCCACCCTTTTTATACTTCTCAACACGGACGCACCTCTTCTCTTGCTCATCCTCAAACGCTTGGAAAGATACTAATTAAACTTCCGATCATTGGCGGGATCATTCATCATCCTGTTAACATTTTCTTGACTCATTAACTCCTTTACCACCGGTGAATATCCCACACATTTCTCAAATTCTTCCATTGTCAACTGCTTCCCTGTTTGAAGATCACTCAGCTTGTTCCACATCCCATCTCGATCGTACTCATTAACTATAAACTCTTTCCCTGTATCCAAATTCTTAATCAAGAAAAAAGCTCCGAACTTATTTTGCAAAAAAGTGCAGCGCTTTGCTTAATTGCACGACTATTCCCTGAATCTTTAGGGGAAGCTCTAATGCTTTCCTGGTACGGAGATAATTTTGCATGTGGGGTTGATATTAAAGAAGATGTTCTTTTGAGACGTTGCTTTGATATTGAACCAAGAAGTTCTTCTTTCTTTTCTTTTGAATTGAAAGTGACTCAATCTCACTATCGGACCTGGACCGTACGAACAGGAAGGGAAGCGGAGAGTGAGATAAATCATTTTTCGAAGAATCTTCGTTGTTTTGTTGATGTTATAACTGCCCCGGGAACTTCGGGTGTTGTCTGAACCTGACAGTTAGGGACCTGGTTGGAAACGATCCGTTTGAGACTGAGAAGTTCTTTGTCAGGAGATAAGCTCGTGCCTTGGAAAAGCCGCTGTCTACCCTCCTTAATGGACCCTGGAGAGGCCATCCAGAATTCCACATATCGTAGTAAGGAGACCTTTGGGTTACCGTTGTCGTTGCAAAAGCTCGAAACTTTGAAGTATGAACCGATGACACCGCGGAAGCGACGGAAATCCTAAAGTCATCGAAATCTTCATTGTCATCGCCTGAACCTGAAGAAGCAAAGTCAAGAGGCACGGCAGAAGATATTCTATTATTCTATCGAAGGATTCAAAGAACTTATCGTCATCGTCATGTAGGCTATCCCAATTCATGGTCATGTTTTTCTTCGATCCATTTTGCGAGACTCCATTTTGGCACTTTTGAAAAAAAAAAAGCACCCTTTGAGGTTGAAAGTTATGTTTGATTCCACTACTCTTTGTTCTTTCTTTCTTATTTTGGTTTTCTTTTTTCCTTTTTTTTTTTTTCTTTGAGGTGTCCGGGAGGGCATTGGAGGGAAAAGAGAAAAAGGAAGGTTGGAAGAGAGCAAAGGAGGAGAGATAACCGTTAAGGAGTAAGGAAAAGGACGATAAACGGTCAAATAAGGTCGTTTAGTTCTGCGTACATTGGGCTCGGCGCGTTCCTGCGTGGAGGTGCCTCCCCATGAATTCGCCACGCACTTTTTCTTACCACCTCATTTTGATGGATCGAGATCATGGACTTCCACTAACTTGTTTCAGCTCCAATTTGGTCAACTCAACAACTGTTCAAAATAATGTTCATTACTTTGATTTGTTTAGTGTATAAATTTCAAAACCAAATCAAATTTAAGAAAATAGTACCATTTTGGTTTGATTTTAAGGTTTAGAGTGTCATATCGATTGACCAAAAAGCCGTTGGAATGGATAGGCTTCGAAGTGGAAAGGAGCGAAGTGTAATTGGGCCTTGTCTTGAAGAAACAAAATGGATGGGTTTTAGCAATGTTTAGGCTTGGGTTTGAGTTGAAAAGGACAGTGATTTATAATCGGTTTTTTTCTTTTTAATTTTTAATCTACCTTTAAACTTTCATCTTATTACATATCTAACGAAAAAATTATTAAATATCTAAATTTTTTCAAATTCGAAATCTTCAAGTGCTAATCCAATAATATAGCAATCGATCTAAAGAATAGTCGGTTGTTATATTGGAAGAACTAAAATACATACGTCGGCAGTGAAACCTAACAGTAGTTTTCTAGTGTTTTATCAATCATGATTATCAAACTTCTTTCTTTACCTTCGATCAAAAAGACATGGCTTAGGTTTCCCTTATTTCTTATGGAGTCCAAAGACCAAATCTAAATCTAGAATAAAACAATAATCAAAAAGAGAAAGAAGATTAAACTAAATTAGAAACTTGATACCAGAGATAGCAACTTTTGTTCTATTCCAAGTCTAGGAACAAATTCTACTTTTTTAAAGGAGCAAATAAAGTTGGAACTCATATATATATATATATATATATATACATATACATACATATCCATCTCTTTTTTCTTGGTCTGTGCTCTGTACCTTCTTGTTTCATCTTTTCCATGCTTTAACTTTATAACAACATTATATCATAAGTTTCCTTACACCAATTCCCCCAAAATTATAGAAAATGGAATATTAGAAACAATAATCAATATAAACAAATAAAGAAACAGATTGCCATTTTCATATGAATATCTTTTATATATATATATATATGGATTCTCATTTTACATAAAAAATTTTTATTACCAAATATAGATAAATTGATACTACTAACAATTTAATAAATTGGTAAAAATCATTGATTATGATCTTGTGATCGAGCTATCTTGACCTTGCAGTGTAAACCAAAAAGAAGAGCACCAGGACACAAGGACTCGACCTCTTGTGAAAAATCGAGTTGCAGATTCCTGCGTGTGCGTGCACTATTGCTACTACTAGGCGATGCTTTTCTTTTATTTGATGGGAGTGGCTTTGGTTTTCTTGGTGCAGGTGGGCATTGTTTGATCACTGGGATTTTGTGATCCAAAGATGTTGGAGTTTTGAACCCATCATCGTCATCATCCGTTGCCTTCAATTCTCCTAAAGATATCATCTTCTTCTTCTTTCCGCTTTCTTCAGAAGTTGCTGTAACGTTGTTTTCTTCTCCTTTTATCTCTTCATGATCTCCCTGTATTTCTCGTTCTTCATCATCGTGTGAAGAAGTTGCAGCAGCTTGACTCTCCTCTTGAAACTCCAATACGGGTCGTTTCAGAATATCGAATTCAGACCCTTCTTCTTCATCTTTAACGAGGAATAACCCTGAATTTGACATGCTAAGAAGGGAAACCCGGCTGAATTCTGCGTACATTAAGATCAAACTATACAAGGAAAATGTTGAGAAAGAAAGTGAGAGAGAGGAGCTGCTAAGAAACACAAAGCAAGGAGAAGAAGCTAAGAAGGGAAAAGATGGCTTTGGTATAGAGATCCTAAACAAAGAATGGGAATATAATCATCAAATCACCGTCTTTGTTTTCCTAGAATTCCTATTATTTTAGATTTTCTTTCAGGTTTTTTTCTACACTTTTGGTGAGAGTAAGAGAAAAACAGGAGGAAACAGTTATAGCAGAGAGAGAGAGAGAGAGAGAGAGAAAGAGAGAGGGGCTTATAAAGAGAGAGGTTTTAGTTTTTTGTGCATCGGATCCTTCGCCCCTAGAGTTGGCTTTGAAAGCCTCCACATTCACCAACTGCCCTTTATCTCCTTCTCTCTTTCTCAAGTATAAGATATTAAATACAATATATCTTTGGTTTTCTGGCACTTACGTTTCGATCTTTTTTGTTTTTCCTTCGAACTTCGATGTAACTATGCACGTGGTTTGCTATACATTGGGGACCATTCACTTGATTGATATGATTATCTAACCCCATCCGATGGAATTATTAGGGAACCTTACATCAGATGCTTCGTTTTACTTCTAAGCAAGGGAACAACTAACTTTGACTTTAATTTGTATTATTGTGTTATTACCCAACTCTTGTTTTTTTCATTTTAAATGCTATTTTCATACCAATTGAAATCATGTCATCAATCAACCGTGAAATAATTTTAATGATCAAAATTTTATTTTTTAATAATTTTAAATATTAAAAATATACCTTGGAAGAGAGTTTGATTTCAAATTTCAATCATGAAAATTATAGGTTTGATGAATTTGTCCTTGTCCAACGTACAAGGGATATGGATCACCTTTCTCCACTCGTGTGGTATGAAAATATGTTGAATAAAATCTTACATTGCAGTCAAACCAAAAACTTAATACACGGGATTTTCTTCACCAACTCCCCCCAACCTCCAACCCTTTAACCATTCGAGCAATTAACTTGCTAGGTATAAAAGTTATTATTATTTTTTTGCTTGATTTAGGCACTGGGAAAGAAGGGAAGGCTTTATTTTTCTATTTTTTTCCCCCTTTTTTACAAAGAACTTGAATTTTCCTTCGACTCAAGCATATGAAATCTGAGAAGATTCAGGGTTTTGAAAGCAAATAAAATCAGTAACAGATATGGTATATCTTCTGATCAACTGGTTCAGCTAACTTTATGCAGTTATTACTTATTTTTGAGAAAAGGTCAATAAAAATTTTGCTTTCATCTAATATTTGAGCCATCAATGCTACCCAAATAGGCCTTTTTTTTTTATTTGTTGCTTAACCAAGAGAGTGTTAAAACATTAGGGACCATCGCAAAAATCAAAATGGATGGCACCACAATGTGTAAAAGCGAAATTAATGTACCTCAGTTAGTTGCATTCAAAATTCAATATTGAACTAGAAGGAAGGCATCTAATTGTCAAAACCCTTTTTTTTTCTGTACAATCAAATAACTGAACATCTTTTAAACAAAAAGGACCACTTCCTTTCAATACCAACAGTGATTTATTCAAAAAATATTGAAATTACCGTAGAAAATTTGAAGGCAAAAATAAAAGATAACAAAGAAAAAAAAAGAGTTCTCATCTGAATGATGCTGCTAGCTTGTTAATGACTAGCAGTATAATGAATGAATTTGTGTTGCTTTTTGGCTGTGACACAGAGAATAGATTTGTGCTTTAATTTCGTATTGGATACTTTGCTTTGGCAATGAGTCGCTTTCCATAATTTTCTTGCAGTGGAGTAACTGATACGCAGTCTTTGGGGATCAGTAACTTTGGATTCGGAGTTGAGATTTGGTAAACCTTCCATACTCAACTAACGACTATCACCACCCCATATCTGTTATTATCAATTTAATGCAAAGATATTGTAGTTTCAAACTAAATAACTAAAAAAAAAGGTAAGTACATATTGATACATCAACACTCTCTTGAGATGATAAATTGAAGAGAAGAAAATGAAGCAATCATCTCATGCTTTGAGAGCTTAGCTGGGGACCGGCCTTGGGGGCGCATGGTTTTCATCATCAGATTGTTTTACATTCTATCTTTTTTTCTCCCTTTTCGAGAAGTGAAGAATATTCCAAGCTTTTGTGTGTGCCTAATCTTTTCTTGAGTGATTTAAAGGATGTAATCTCTTACTTCGACACCAGAAATATAAGATTTTACTTTTGAAATATTCTTCACAGGAACCGAACCCATATGGATAATGGATTAACTCATATTCATGTAGACAGTAGATATAATCTAGCTTTATTAGAAGTTAGAAATCCGTCACCCCACTCTTCCTTCGTTGATGTAAGAAGATTTACCCAATCAAATTCTGCCAGCTTTGCAGCAAATGGGTTTTGCTTCTTATGTGATTGGAGGGTGTGAGAATGTCTGTTAACGAGGGAGGTGAATCCTGGAGGATGGAACGTTTTTGGGTTTAGGGATTTAAGTACTTGTTAAAAACTAGTTTAATTAATAATGTCTGTTTAGTAGGATAATGAGGGAAGAAACTGTTGAAACACGCTCTCTCTGGGGCAGAATAATTGCATGCCAAAGCACATGGATCATGATTTTGCCTCCATTGCCAACCATCATGCATGTCCCATGCCTCACACTCATCTCTTCCAATTTCATCTCCCTCTTGCTTTTTATTTTCCTATCCAACCAGACAAATCTCCATTTCTTGTTTGGTTTTACTTTCTTTAAGTAATATCCATATCCCCTTTCTTAATAAGACTGCCATCTGGAACCCAAGACCCAACTATCTCTATTTTTGGACCACCCCTAGCATATCAGAGCTTTCATATTTTTTTCTGGGGTTTTGCATGTGAATGCTTTATTTTATTGAAACTTTAAGCGTGTGTTTTTTAGGGAAAAAGGTAGGAGAAAGGTTGGCGTTTGTGGTGAAGAGAAGGAAAAGTGCTGTCAAGTACACCTAGGGAAGCAAATTAAGCTTGTTCGAGATGATTAAAGAGGGACTAGTTCACTGTCTCCGAGAGAGTTCCTTAAAGCAAATGTTGCTACCAATCGAATCATTAACCCAATTTCAAATTCCAAATATTGGGCTGTTCAGTTTAAAGATTATAAATATATGCAAGAGAGATTCCTTGCATTTGAATTGAAAAAAGCATGACTGTGAAAAGGAAAAAAAGAAAAAGGCTATTACTTTGACTGCTCCTAAAACCTTTACTGCTAGCAAATAAATCGCAGTCAGTGAGGATTTAAATGATGCATGAGATGTATTGAATTGGACACTCTCATGAAACTTCTACTGCCGATCACTTTCTCACACATGACAATGTTTAATCAATCCAGGAAATTAATGAAAAGCCCTGTAGGAGACAAGGAACGTGGGAAGATAAAAGGGTCTAGGACACCTAGAGATCAATGCTAGCTAGGGGAGATCAATCAACCAAACGATATTTACTCGATTATTGAATAGAATCATATACCAAATACCCACGTAATTAACATTATAATTACCAAGCTGAAAGATTGTTTATCCTTCAGTCAGTGTGATTATATACACTTTTATTCCCCACACAATATTGCCGGCATGCATGCTAGGTGCAGAGAGCAGTAATTATGTCCTTGGAAGGCTGACACCATAAAACTGTTTACAGTAAGGTTTTTTGGATGAAATTAGTATAAAAGCTGTCACCTTCTTACTCTACACAGCACGGACAAGTTAATTTTGAACTTTGAAGTTAAAGAATTTAGTACAGAATATATACATATAGACGTTTTATCAGATCGGTAATTCGAAACCTAGTAACAATTTGGACAGAAATAAGATTTGCTGCTTCTGGCTCGGTTTCAAGCAAGTTTGTGTATATCACAGCTTGCATCACAACAACCGTTCAAGATCTGCCCCTCATCATTTGATCACCCGTTCCATGCGATTTTCTGTAAAAATAGAAGCATTTATATATGAAGTAGAGATTAGTATGTATAATCTGATGGGGATCTGGGTCCATAGATTCCATTACTTTTTCAAGATGGCTTAGCCAATTTGCCAGTAACGTTTTGTTGTTCAGAACTTTTTCTTTAGTACACAAAGTGATGTTGTCCACTATGTTATGTCTCTTGTGACTGACTTAGGCATCGGCATGTCAGCATTCCAACACAGCCATGTAACCTGTTAGGCAACCTTTTTATCATCATGATTTAGACTTCTAAGAAGATTTTAATCACTTTATTTCCTTTTTCTTTTTAACAATTTCCTTTCTTTTGGGTGTGTCGATCAATCATATCCTCGTCTAAAAGTCAGAAATTAAACCATAATGGAGGGAAAATTCCTCAAATTTCAATTTCCATGCGGGTCACCTTGAAAAGCAGCTTGGGTTGACTTGAAACTTGATCATGGAGAACCATAGTGCAGAAATTGGCCATTTAGTGGAAACAGGAATAACAGATTTGTTCGACTCAAAGACATAAAACAAATTCAACATTGGATTCCAAAATAGTTTTAATTTCTCTTTAGTGCTTGATCTAACTCTATCTTGGGTAAAAACCTGGTAACAATATCCCTTTGATGATTTGGGATTCTCCCAAGTCTTATCCCAAGGTTTCTATGAAACCAAAGGTCCAAAACTAGAAATTAGAAAGTTTAAAGAACTATGCTTCAAGTCACGAGTTCCTAGAAGGCTCTGAAATTAACCATTGCATGACAAAAACCACTCTATGAGCTATTAAAGGAGCTACCAATAATAGTTTTAAAACAATTTTTACCATTAACATGTAACACACTCCTTATATTCGAACTCGTCGTGTTAAGGGTGAGGTGTGCACGAAATATAAGCTTAATATATACCTTGTATATTTTGATTCTAGATTACTTATTAAAAAATCCTTCAAAATCATGTTAAGAATCAATAATTATAATAATGATTGACAAACAAAATGAAAAAGATTTCATAAAGGTTTTAAAATAAACTTTGGATATAACACATCTTTATATCCAATTTTTGAATGGTTAAATCATTTTCTCTCACTCTCATTTTTTTCATGGTTTATGTGTTCAAAAAACTCTTGAAGTGCAATCTTAAATTTTTTTCATTTAGACATTATATCTTGAGCATAATATTTTCAAAATTTTATTTACACGAAAGATTATTATCTTAAAAAAAAGTTTTTAAAAGTGTCTTACCTAAAATTTTCATTTCTTTTCCCAATTTGGTTGCATTATATATTCTCAAACCATAATATACAACAACTTTAAGATAGCATACAACAATATCATCTTAAAAATTCCTATTATCGTTTCTTTTAACATTTTCCTATGTTAATTTTCATGTCCTAAGTAAAAAACGTTGTAGACATCCAATTTGATCCAGACCCAGATCAATTGAGCTTAATTTAAATAGATAAGCCCATTTGTAATTTTATTTTTATTTTTTATTTTTTTAAATTTTAAATTTTTTATTTTTTATTGCTATTATTATTTATTAATATATAATTTTTTATTATTATTTATCTATTAACAAATTTTATTATTTATCTGATAATATATATATTTTTATTATTATTTATCTATTCATATATTATTATTTATCTATTAATATATATTTTTTATTTTATCTTTTTTTTTTATTGATTCCTGATTGGGATTAGGATCAGAAAAAATTGAAATTCTTGCATGAATTTGGGACTGACAAAGTTGAAATTGGATTCAAAGATTGAATCCAAATCCCAGAGAGAATTGGGATTAATAAAAAAATTTTATGATCAATCCCTATAAATAGGTGCTGGAACAAACATAGAAAGGACACACATAGAGAGGAAACAGAAGCTAAAAAAGGGTTTTTGTGCATTAGAACAGCTTTAGGAATTTGTGAGAAATTTTTTTCGAATTTTGGAGTTTTTTTCTGAAAAATTTTTTGAAATTTTTTAGAATCCGAAGAAAATTTTTCAGCGATATTCAAGTTTTCCGACGAGATTCCAGCCAACTTTGAACTTTCCGACAAGTTACCCAGTTTTCAGCATAACTTTTCAGAAATCGATTAACTTTTCGACGACTTTCCGGTGAGAAACCCAGATTCTGACGAGAATTTTCAGAATCCAGTTAAATATCAACCGATGATCTTAAGGGGGTAGAGAGAGAGAGGGAGAGAAAAAGAGAAATAAAGAGAGAGGGAAGAAGAGGGTTATGCTGGGAAAGATTGAAATTAGCTTTTTATAGCTCTCCAAAACGATATCGTTTTGAGCTTAAAAAAATCTCAGGATCCGCGCGTTTTAAAATCGGACGACTCGACCCGAGCGTCAATTCGCGTTGACCCGAGTGCTAGCCAACCCTTGGAGCCAAGTCGAGCCGAGCCGAGATCCCTGAGCCAAGTCGCCGAGCTGCATTTTCTGTCTTGAGTCGAGCAGTTCAAAATAATTTTTTTTCTTATTTATTTTATTATTATTATTATTATTTATTGATTAGATTAAAATTATTTAGTATTTTTTATTTTACTTTATTTTTATTTTTGATTTTCTTTAAATAAAATTTCAAAAAAGATATTTTTGAGGAGAAGTTGAAAGTATCAATTTTTCTTGAAAATAAGTCTTCAAAAAAATATTTTTTTCTTAAAAATAAGTTTTCTAAAAAATATTTTTGAGAAAAAGTTGAAAGTATCGATTTTTCTTGAAAATAAGTTTTCTAAAAATATTTTCGAAAAAAAGTTGAAAGTATCAATTTTCTTTGAAAATAAATTTCTAAAAATGAATTTTTTGAGGAAAAGTTGAAAGTATAAATTTTTCTCGAAATAAAAGTTTCAGAAAAATATTTTGAAAAAAAATTAAAAGTATCAATTTTTCTTGTACAAAAGTAATAAATTTTTTGAAAAGAAAATTATTTATATCAAAGTTGAATCATTTTTTTTATTTCTTTTTCTTTTTGTTTCTTGAATTTTTTTAATGTTAAATAATCTGACGATAGAGTCTCCGCAAGTGAAATAGTAGTTTCTTTACATATTCTTGAGGTGAAATTTTTTTTTTAATTTTTTGCTAAAAATATTAGAGATAATTGAGAATAATTTTCAATAATTAATTACTTGGTAAATTTTTAAGGCTTATTAGATAATATAAAATTAAGCTGGGATTATCTTTCGATGGGCGTTGTGAGGGTACTACAACCTTTTTCACACGTAACCGTATTCCTGAACCCTGTTCTGATTAGTAGACCTGAACTTATTCTTTTAGAGACCCTTAAGCTTATGTATTCTTTAAAAAGATAAATTTTTTAAGTGATCAATCGCATATAAATAAAAAAGATTAGTAATGACTTTTAAAATAATATCTAACGATAAATTTTTGGATCTAAACGTTATGACAAATGTAATAAGAATTGAAAAAAAATGTTAAAAGTAATTACTCGAGCTTGACAGGTATCCCCATCCTTCAAAGCTTAGTAGCTGATCTGCCTGATTTATGGTTATTAAATTGTTGGGTGAGGGGATAGGGCGCCCTCATTAATCTCCCTTGAAGCACAAATATTTCCATGAAAATAAAAAATTGCTTAATTAAACAATACTCCTAAGTCATAGCCCAACATAAGTGGGAAAATTTTTTCGTCGTTTTTACTGACCACAGCCTATTGCTATACTGGTACAAATCTGGCATTCTAGTGGTTAGGAACTTTAAATTGGACCATGCCCCTTCACTCCTTGCTTTATGAATGTCAACTTTTTGGGGAAAAAGAAAAAGATTTGTTATGTAAGAAAAATACATGAAAAAGACTTAACACATAATACTTTGTATAATTGCTTTACAATGCATTTGTCTCCATCAATAACGGATAGTTTTTTTTTTTTTTTTTCTTTCATAGTTTAACATTGCTGTTGTGGATAGAAAAAGTTTAATTTGAAAAAATACGTTTGAAAAGTGTGTAAAAAATTATTGTGAAAAAAATTAATTTATGATTTTTTTTTTTTTAGTGTTTAGCATTATTACAAAATTTGTTGTAAAAAATTAAAATGTCTAAAAAATCCGTGATATTGGAAAAGAAAAAAATAAATTATTTTGTCAATATAAATAATTGAATTGGTATTTAATAATTTTATCTCCAAATTATAAATTTCAAATCACAACTGCTTCTCATAATTAACTTTTGCAATTGATTCACTTTTAACATAAATAAGAGTGTATTTAGGGTTACTTTTGCATTCAAAAATTAAGTTTTGAAACCCAAACATAATCTTAAACAAAACCTAAAAAAGGGGAATTTTATGAAATCTAGGGTCTAAACTCAAACTCTATATATAATGCATGCAAGAACTTGCAAAACTAATCACGTAACAAATAATTAGAAAAACCATCAGCCTTAATTATTACATATCATTACTTATCTTTAGGTCCCGATATAAGTCCAATTGTACATGAGTTTAATTTTTCTTTCCCAACTCCCAAAGTTTCTTACTAAATACCAAAATTAACCCTTTTAATAAAAATTTGAATCGAAGACAATAACAAAAATTAAACAAACAATTAATCATTTGCAAAGGGAAAAAAAAACAAATAATTGATCAGAATTGTTAAATATAAAAAATAAAAATTTATCTTGTTATACTTATAGATGTTAAATGTACTCCATCTGATTGGTAGACGTGGCGAATTTTACGGAGGCACACCAACCCAAATCACCTTTAATTCCACGTGGAGAATGGCCCCATCGGTAAATAATCACAAATATTAAAGGTAAAACCGTCATATAAAAACTGACAGCTGGATCTCCCACAATCGCCAGATCAGACTAGCCCCACTCACCTGGACCGTAGATTTTTTGTTAATGCACCATCACCGAAAAAAAACAAAACAAATGGTCTGGAATTCGCGCGATACCGAATTTACTGCACATTTAAGTCGCATTTGATTTTTGAAAACTTCTAGTATATATAATTTTTCGGAAAACAAACAAACTTTGTCTGCTTCTAGTGTTTTGTTTTTGTTAGTTCTTTTCATTTTTTGAAACAACGTGAGGCTCTAAACGCGGGTGGTAGCTGAGAAGACAACCTCAAAGAACGCGAAATCTCAGACTTCTTTTTTCTCTAGAAGGATAATCTTCGATCAATTTTTAGGTTCTTCTTTTTCGATCTTTGATTTTGTTATTCGTTTGATTAATTTCTAGATTGTTTTTTTCCCACATTTGGTAATGTTTTTGTTTTGGAGTATGTAATTTTCGATCTCTAACGATGTTTTTTTGATCTGTCATGTTCTTATGTTAAATCATGTTTTTATTACGCAATTACATTTACTTGTCATATTTTCTTACTGATATTTTAACCGTTTCTGCGATATCTGAAATTTGTTTCCTATTAACTGTGCGGATCTATAGATTTGCAGGCAATGTGGTGTTATTTCTTTTGGCTATTGGTTTGGTCTTGTTATAAATTCAAAATGTTATTGGTTTTACACTCTTCTTTTTCCTTTTTGTTTGGTTCGTCTGCCTTTTGGTCCAACCCATTTTTAGTTTCTGAATCGAAATGTTGGTTGGGTTGGAAGATGTGAGGGTATTAGTGATTGAATTGTTCAGAAATTTGTTTTCAGACCAATTTATGATATTGTTAGATATGATGTCTGTTTTGAAATAATCTGTATCTACCTGAGATTTTGTTACTCCCAAGTGCAAATTATACTAATGTTATGCTATTGGTTCTCTTTTAGGTTGTAGAAGATGGCTGATGGTGAGGATATTCAGCCCCTTGTCTGCGATAATGGAACGGGAATGGTTAAGGTACTAGACCGGATTCCTTATCATTTAAGTGCTATTCCAATAATGCGTTTACAACTTTAATTTAATATGGTTTTGAAAATGGTTTCTTAGGCTGGATTTGCTGGGGATGATGCTCCAAGGGCTGTGTTTCCTAGCATTGTTGGTCGCCCACGTCATACCGGAGTGATGGTTGGCATGGGACAGAAAGATGCATATGTTGGCGATGAGGCTCAATCTAAGCGTGGTATCTTGACTCTAAAGTACCCAATTGAACATGGCATTGTCAGCAATTGGGATGACATGGAGAAAATTTGGCATCATACCTTTTACAATGAACTTCGTGTTGCTCCGGAGGAGCATCCAGTTCTCCTCACGGAGGCCCCTCTCAACCCAAAGGCCAACCGTGAGAAGATGACTCAAATCATGTTTGAAACCTTCAATGCACCTGCTATGTATGTTGCCATTCAGGCTGTTCTTTCCCTTTATGCTAGTGGTCGAACAACTGGTAAGCTGTTCATTTAGTCTAAACTATGATCTATTTCAATTTATCTCTCAATGTTTTGGGTCAATACCTTGTTTTGGGATCTAAAGGAAGGAAGATCACCTGACTTAGCCAAGTAATAATGATTTCAGTGTTGAAAGATCTCTGACTAGAAAGCTTTCTTTCTAAGTTTCATGCTTCTTTGCTTGTTTTAATTGCATAACCTTCCTTGTTCATCATTGAGGAAGGAACAGACAGTTACAATTTGGAAGACATGAAATTTCAAGAATACATATGATTTATAAAAAATTTTATGTTTAGCATAAACAAAGGGATCTTTTTTCTTTACATCCTATTGCAAATCAAATTATATAGTCATCCTTGGCAGGTAGTACTAGGGTAATGCATAGTTATGTGAGATCTTTGTTCTGTGTGTTTGGTGCAGGTATTGTGCTTGATTCTGGAGATGGTGTCAGTCACACAGTCCCTATTTATGAGGGATATGCTCTTCCACATGCAATCTTGCGTCTTGATCTTGCTGGTCGTGACCTCACTGATGCCCTGATGAAGATTTTAACTGAGCGTGGTTACTCATTCACCACAACAGCTGAACGGGAAATTGTGAGGGACATGAAAGAAAAGTTGGCTTACATTGCCCTTGACTATGAACAAGAACTAGAAACTGCCAAGACCAGTTCTGCTGTTGAGAAGAGCTATGAGTTGCCTGATGGTCAGGTGATCACCATTGGGGCTGAGCGATTCCGATGTCCAGAAGTCCTTTTCCAGCCATCTATGATTGGGATGGAAGCTTCTGGTATCCATGAAACAACTTACAACTCCATAATGAAGTGTGATGTTGATATCAGAAAGGATTTATATGGCAACATTGTGCTTAGTGGTGGCACCACCATGTTCTCTGGTATTGCTGATAGAATGAGCAAGGAGATCACAGCTTTGGCACCTAGCAGCATGAAGATTAAGGTGGTTGCTCCACCTGAGAGGAAGTATAGTGTGTGGATCGGGGGTTCCATATTGGCATCCCTCAGCACTTTCCAACAGGTAAGTTTATTTTGCGTGTATCTTCAAGTTATTTTATCAAAGTGCTTTATGAAAAATTTCTAACATTGGACCCGACTTTTCCCTTAATTGCAGATGTGGATTGCCAAAGCTGAATATGATGAATCTGGCCCTTCAATTGTGCACAGGAAATGTTTTTGAGCACAAGGAAGGAAAAGATGGGCTTAAGCTTCTTGCATTTTAATATTTTGGTTCATCATCTGTTTTTCTTGTCCCGGCACCTTGTCGTTTGGACAATAACCTTGAAGGATAGACGATTGTTGGGGTATTTATATTTTCAGTTATCATTTTTTTTAAGTGAGGGATAATTGCCCAACAAACTTGTTGCTAGTATGTTAATTCATATAATCTGTACGTTATTTGCTGGCTACCACCAATTTGATGAATGAATAATCAAATTTTTCGTAGTACGAAAAACGATTTACCAAATCCATCATATTGATTGCACCATGCGGCTTCTACGTTCAATTAAATTGACAATGAGATTTGACGGGAAACTAGTGACCATAAATTTTTTTTACAAGGAAGATTGTAGATCTTATATTGAAGATAAAAAATGAAATTACGTACATTAGAATTTTAATTTTAAATTTATTAAGAGATTAATTTAGTTGTTCGATGTCTTTTTTATAAATAATTTCATGAAATAATTTAATTAAAAATTAAATTTATTGTAACTTTTTTAAAGGTTTTTAATTTATTTTTAAATTTTTTACTTTATTATTTATTTGATTAAAAAAATATTATACATATAAAATTTTTTAAACTCGTAATTTTAAATGCTAATTTTAACGATATATTAACGGATTAAATGAGATATAAATTGATTCAAAGGTTAATCAGCCAACGTAACCCTCTTCTCGACTGTGAAACTAGTAGGTACTTTTATGGTAATTGGCTTCTCGGTTATCAGCCAAAAAGCTACTTTTTCTTTGGATGATGCTAAAATGTGAAAACGACTCGTTTTGCCTTGTGGGAGACACCCAATAAATCACCACCAGCAGCACAAAATAAAACGGCGTAGTTTACTTCATTTTGTGAATAAAATTGCAATACCGGCCGGCGCCGACACTGGTGCTCAATCCGGACTCCCTGAATTAAGCATGAAAAAAAAATATATATAGCCAAAGCTTGAAAAATGGTAGATTTATCTTGTGAAGTTACTGGGATATCTGAACACCGCTAATAGAAGAGAAAACAGGGGTAAAATAGCATTGGCAGCGATAGTGAGCGTTTGGGTAATTCCGATATCCATCCTGGTGAGTCGCATTGTTCCTGATCCTTACATGGTAAAGAAAGACTGTCAAATTCTTACTTTCCAATTATTTTAATCGTTACAACAATAGTCAATTTTGAGTCGATTATTTCATCTTTTTATGTGGGCAGGATGAGATTTTCCACATACCTCAGGCTCATCAATACTACAATGGAAATTTCAGGAGCTGGGATCCCATGAGCACTACCCACCTGGCCTGTGATGTTCTTTCTCTTCTCTGTTCTCAATTTCATTATATCCCTTTTGTTGATGTGAAAGTTTGGGATTTACTTTACTGAATTTTAATGGGTTGTTTTCAAATATTATAACAATGGGATGGGTTGGCTCTGTTCAGTTAGATGAATTGATGGTGCATTAGGAATTTCTTTGCCCCTTCTGCAAAGATGGGGTTTTGAACTAGTTGCTTTCCTTCCATGATTTCCCTATTATTTTGACTCTATGCTCAAATGTTGTAGATTTTTGTTGACACTTAGTTAGAACTACTTTTACAGGTACTGTCTTTCACTTATTCATGTTGCTGCTTTGTTTCCGGGCGAGTATATTCTACAATTGGTTTCATCATTCCCAGAAGTTTGTTCTACTGCAGTGCTTCGCTCTATAAATGGAGTCTTGGCGGTACCATGCAGCATGCTAGAATACGAGATAATAACCCACTTGAGACCTACTCTTGATGATAGAAAAGCAGCGCTTCTTGCTGCAGTTCTAGCCCTGTATCCACTCCATTGGTTCTTCACTTTTCTTTAATAGACTGATGTTGCATCACTTACTGCTGTGCTTGCCATGTATCTTGCATGTCTGAAGAAGAAAAATCTATTCAGTGGATTGGTAAATGAGTCAACTTAAATTTTTTCTTATGCAGTCAATAGATCTTAAAATTTCCTGGATATTATTTCACATGCTGCCTGGGAACAAGATAAACTAGCTATGTGTCAGATTGCATATGGAAAACTGAGTACTAAGGTATTCTTAGATGTCTAACTTTGTAATCTTGCTATATGTGGCTAAAAAGGTACTAATTTTTGAAAAGACTATCTAATCGAACAGTTTTGGCATAGATTCACATTTACCTTAATGTTGTCATATATTTCTTCTTTGTTGTTGCATTTAGGTTTTTACTCATTTCCACCTGTGTTCTTGCAGCTTGGGGCAATGGCAGTTGTTGTTCGACAGACAAATGTTGTATGGGTGCTTTTTGTTGCTTGCTCTGGGGTAATTGATATTACTCTGGCGCATCAAAGAGATGGTGCAAAAGTAGATTTAAAGGCATCAAACAAGGGTGCCACTCTGTCAACCCTCAATAGCAGTGTCAATGTGAGTTCAATCTTGAGGAAAAGGAAGCCCAAGGGAAATGCAGAGGCTAATAAACATTCCTCTTACTGGACAAACACCTCTTCAACATCCCGAACAGCAGGTTCTTTTTTACATACCTGGTCTTACTTTTGTTAGTTTGTAAAACCATGTAAGTTGTATTGTTATGGACTTACTCGTCAACTGCTTGTTCATAGGATTTAGGCAATTACTCTTTGCAGAGAAAGGGTCGTTATATGCTAATATGATGTCCTTTTGGCATTATAATGCTGGTCTGCTTCATGAGATTCAGGCTATTGCTTTGACTTCATGGCAAATAAAGTGGGACTTTTGGTCTTCTTTAGCCCATTCTTTTTTGTATTGCTGGCATTTGTTGCTTTTCTCTTTTGGAATGGGAGTGTAGTTCTAGGTAGTATTCATTTTGCTGCGCTATTTGGTCCCTTTACCTTCTGTCTTTTCTTCTTCTTTCTCACACATCCTCCTAATGTTGCAGGTGCAAAAGAAGCTCATTCCGTTTCTCCCCATTTTGCACAAATAATGTATTTTAGCCTCATTTCTGCTCTTTTTGCGGCTTCTCTGAATTTCACAATAGGTCATGCCCTAGATCTGTTTCAGTCATTCCGGAAGAACAGGCTGCATGGTTTTTTCCTCGGATTCTTGGCTTTGATTGCTTGTCTCCTTTCTGTACGCTTTTTCAGGTTAGTTCAAACGACCAATGATAGACTGATGCCAGATTATCTCACAGGAATTTGGAACTCCTTGTACTCTTCTTTTTACCTTTTTGATGAAACACTTGTATTCTTCCATCATGTGGCTAATGGATTCTTGCAGCATTGGTCATCCTTATCTTCTTGCTGACAATCGGCATTATACCTTCTATCTTCGAAGGAAGATCATCAAATTTCATTGGTCAATGAAGTATCTTTTGGTGCCAATTTTATGTTTATTCATGGTTCTCAATCTTCCATTTATTGGGTTGGTACATATCATTTTCTGCCTTATTTTGTACACAGTTTGTCCCAGCTTGTCTAAGGTTGCAATATATCTTGCATTGGCAGACAAAGCGCAGAGGGGATATGGGTATTGGTGTATTTCTTGGCAACTTCTGCTTGTCTTGTTCCTGCTCCGCTAATCGAGTTCAGATACCATACCATACCATTCTATATACAGTCCTTAATGTCTTTACAATGAGAGTGTTCTTGTTTCGGCCATTCCATTGGGATCATGAGCCCGGGTTCCAAAGGTTCATATGGTAGATACGAAATAGTAAAAGCTTAAACGAGGGAAGCGTTAGCAGGTCGTTGTCGTTAGTAATCTTAGTATTCTTTGATGAAGTATCGGCATCTGAACTAACCCTATTATTATTACATGTAATTCCATTCATTTCAAGCAAATGAAAATTTCATGTTTGATATGCAATTTTTAACCAAATGATGGTGCTAGTGATGAGCATACTTTAGATTCTTGCAGTTTCTATAATGATGATTTTTTTTTAATTTTTAAAATATATTTTAAAGGAAACAAGAAATATTTAAAGGAAAGACGTTTAAATAAAATTCAAAGTCGCCGTTTTTATGAGTTCGGCAATCCGTTAAAGACTAAAGAGTGAAATAATCTAGAAATACTGAAGACACACTCTACTGCAAATCTTTTAAAACTATAAATAAAATCAGCTTTAATGCGAAGAAAAGCTTCTTTTCAATGGCAAATCCGAGGCTTCGCGCAGCTGTCGGATTCACCATCATCTCTCCACTTCGATTCTCGAAAACCCCAACAATTCCTCATCTACCTTCGGTCTCTACGCCACCGATGATCTCGTTCCCTCGACTTTGCTACACAGACCATTGCAGAATCTGTGGGTGATTGGTACTTCCAGCGGAAAGTATCAAAGCAGATTGACTGCCCTTATCCATGCAATCCCACTTGCTATAACATGGATTTCACGCGAGGTTTATGAAGCACATCTCTAGTATTCTAATTTTAAAATTACCCTGGTGGATATTATTGCAACTTTCATTCGAAGAAGCATCTTGGATATTGAAACACATTATGTAGAATCAGATCACTGTTCATTGTTGATTTCAGATCGTCCCTTAATTTGCGCTGTAGCAATGGATTTTATGTTTGACCAGAGGAAGGCAACTTCTTTCATACCGAGACTTTTTGATACCCTGCCAAGTTCGATGTACTCTTCTTTTTTCTTTCTTTTTTTGAGATATTCTTTTTTCTATTTTTGAGATAACTTTGATATACACTTTATATATCATCCTCCTTGTTACTTTTATACCCATACTAAGAACTTTGCTAATGTTCAAGTTAAAAGGTCTTAATCTTCATTCAATTGCATTTAATTCTAATGTTTCAATATTTGGTAACTTAGTTGAGTGGATGACTTGAATCAAGAACAGTATGACTACCACCTCATAACTTTCTGATTCTTTTATACTCAAAGATATTTTTTCTTTGAATGCACCAATAACAGAACAGAAAAACTAGGTTAAAAATATTGTAACATATTCATTTAGTTGTAAAAAAGAAAATTACATGTTTATACATTTATGAGATCAGTCAACTAATAAATTTGTTGGCCAGGGTTGGCTTGTGCCACGTAAACGAGGGAGAAGGCGTTGGTTGGCGGGTGAAGAGCCATCTAAAAGTAGAAATCTAATAAAAGGGAGAATTTTGATTCAGAACCAGACAAAACCAAACCACATCCCCCCTCAACCCGTAATCCATGCTTCAATTCTTTGAAATTCCTTCCTTTGTCTTCTTCTTTCCTCTGATATATACATTTTTTTTAAGAACCAAACACGCAAACACAAGTTGCTTTCCAGCCAATCATTTGACTTCTCAACAATGGCTGATGGCAAAAGCAATGACTTTGGTTTTTGAACATATAATTCTCTTGTCCAAGGTATTATTTATGAAATATATATATCAATATCAGGGTCTCTTTTATGTGTAATTCAGGTTTCTTAATGTTCACTTGGTGATTTTGATTCCTTTTTTTGTTTCTCCTTACTTATGTCGTTTGGCTGCTGGAAATGGGATATTGGGAAATTTCAGATTAATAAAACAAAACCAAAGGTTTTGGGTTCTGTTTTTCTCCTCTCATTTCAACTTACATGTTATTTATGCTGATTTTAGTATATATCATATATGAAAGGCTGGTTTTAGTTCTTGGGAAGAAAATCAATGATGAGAAAAAAACTCTAGCTAAGGTCCTTATTTTAGGATTAGCAGTATTTCTCACAGCACTTTTTCCCTCTTCCCTTTGTTTTCATGGTAACCAAACAGCAAGTGAAGTTGCAAAATTCATCTTAAAAGTTTGGAAGTATCCAACTGTTTACTTTGTAAACACATATGTCATTACTATTCATTGTATGATGGAACATATCATTTCAATTTTACAACAAATCGATGATTTGTTCCAATCTAGTGGTATAAAATGTTACTTAAATGAAACAGCTATGATTGTTACTTGATAGCATTTATTTCAATTTGAATCAGGTTCAACAAGTTCGTAGCTGAAGTTATTCGTCCGTTTAACAGGCAATTCTCCGAGCAATGGGGAAGCACATGCAACACAGGAGCACTGGCATCTCAATCCCGCAAGGTTATCCGGGATGCATGTGGGGTATTCTTCATGTACTTAAGTACCAACATTGGCATTGGCGTTTTATTAAGAAAAGACTTCCACATAAGAAGCGTGATGCTGGTAAGCAGAGACTTGGTTTTCATTCGAAACCGAAAATTGTCCTATTATTATATATATTCTTCAATAAAATTGCATTACATTGGAAAACAGATTGAAACACTATAATCAAAGTTTGGTACTTGAAGAAACTGATCATTATGGGAAAGCAAAAAGTTAAAATGATGACGTAACCATCTTTGTTCTAATAGCAGGTTGAAACAACATGATTAATATAGGTATTGTTGCCTTCTAGGCATGCAGAGGTTTGCAGTATCTGTTTTTCTTTCATGGATGCTAACAGCTAATAAGCTTCCTGGTTCTAGGGGCTGAAAATCCAGAGGATGGAGTACAAGCCTCAAATACTGATGATCCGTCAAAATACATGAAAGCTGAAGTGGCTAAATCTAAGGTGAGTTGATATAGAAGTTTTTCTTTGGCACATTTCTGGACTTGACTTGTGCCTTGTATAATGTAAATCATTTCAATAATACACAATTGAAAAGTTTTGTTCCTGTTCACATTGTTTAATAGGAGTTTGATCTGTAGTTGCATATGAATTAGAAATCCACTGATTAGGATTCAGCAATTTCTTATTTTACATGCACAAATAGAGTCATATATAGTTGTATCTAAGTTGAAACTGGTAGGTTGAAGGAAAGAAGAAGCAGTCCAGTCCAGCAACTAAAAATTCAGTGAGATCTCGGCTGAAGGCACTTATTACTGAAGATATGTCTAGAAGGAAGGGACGAGGCCGGCATCACCGAAGTTCAACCTACCCTGCACCCTTACAGTTGAAACGAACTGGTTCAACTCATCATGCAGAAGCTCATATCGATGATATTCTTCCTGAAATAGCTCTAAATGATGGAAGTCCTGGAGTGGCTAACAAGAACAACGAGATCTCCTCCGATAGCCGTTCTGAGGATCAAGTTTCACCAAAGTCCTCGGAGGAACCAATTACCAGTGATGAAAGTGATGAAGAGTTCGGTATCATGCTTAGTGGGGAAGACTCAAGCCTTGATCAAGTTGATGAAATTGAGAATGCCAATTTCTTTCAGGAAGATCTAAATGACAAAAAGCAAGCATTATTGAAACAGAAGTCGATCGCTTCAAAAGAACTTACTCTAGATGCTGCTGCATATAAGTCAAAGTATTTAATAGATGCTCTGGATATAATCAACATGAACAAAGGGTTTTTACTGACAATTCTACAGGATCCAGGCTCTCCTTTGACTCACCATTTCCGTAAGCAACAAGCTATCAGTGCTAAAATGGGAATAACCAGGTCTGAGACTTTCCCTTCACCTGGTTCATCGAGCAGAAAAGGTTCTGGTTGCTCATCGAGCAGGAAAGGTTCCGGAGGAAGTAGACAAAAACATAAGCAGGAAGCAACTGAGTTTCATGCTAAAGAAGAGGAGTCTGATGTTTGTTTTCATGGACAAAAGTCATCCGATCATGAGTCTACCGAAGATATCTGTAGAAAGTCAATTCCATTGATAGCTGCAGACCACAGGGCAGATGGAATTCACAAACTAAACCAAGCAAAGGCTGAAATGGCTAATATCTCTTCTTCAGGTTCATCCCACTATTTGAAGCAATCCAGTGGAAATCAAGTGGCAAAAAGGAGATTCAAACATCTTAAACAGAACATAAAACAAGCAATTAAGGAGAGCAAGAAAGAGAGGTATCGGATTGCTATGGATGCAGTCCTTCACAAAATTCCTCACAGGAAAGGGTTTTCCAAGGACTTGACAAAGGACATTGTTGATTATTTTAAGGACCTTTCAAGGATTAGGAATATTTTTTCTGAATTATCTACCGGCAAGAGAAGAATCCAGCACGAGAGAAGAGCATCATCTTTTAATGAGTCTATGGATAGATATACACAGTTGTATGAATCTAGTTTCAACAGAGAAGCCAAAGAACATATCTCCAAAAGGATGCAAGAAATAGGAGAAGAAGAGATAGTTTTGCCTCGTAGGAGTGCAAAAAAATCCCTGGGAAGGATTCTTTCCTCTCCTGAACTGCATTCTTATTTTTATCAAAGTGAGGACTCTTCTGATGCATTTTCTTCAGATATGCAAACTGTTGTTGCAGATAGCACTTTGAGCATAAGCAGCTTAACTGAACAAAAAATTCTAGATGTTTCAGAGGCTTTGTATTATCGCTCACAAGACACACTAGGAAAAAGTGAGTCTGAAGAGAATAAGATAGACATCAGGGAAAAACTTCCATTTTCTTCAGATCTGTTAGCAACAAACTCATCTACAAATAGTAAGACAATAGCTCAAGTGGAACAAACTAGTGATGAGTCGGGAAACTTGATGATAGGGAAAGATGTTTCTCAGAGTGAACAAGACAGTAAGCATGGAATTGTACCTATCACAAAGCAGGAAGAACCAAGTTCTATCCCTTTGCTCAACATCACTTTTGAAGAGCAAAAAGCCAGTCCTGCAGAAATTTCCAAATCACAAGGTATAAGCCCTGTTGATTCTTTCTCTTACCTTATGGGACAGATCATATTCTAGGACTTTGTTTGATCTTTTTGAACTGTTATATTCAAGATTACATTTCATTATCAATTTATCTTCCTGTTACTGGCTGAAATGAATGGTTTCATGTTTAGAAGCAGATTTGGAGCTAAAGCAAAGTCAGGGCCTTCCCAACGTAATGAGGTTTTTGGATGATGGGCAACATGAAATGAGGGATACCCCTAAGGTGGCTGAGGGCATAGTTGAATTAGAGAAAGTAGAGGCCTTAAAGAAGGATTTAGACAATGAACTTTTAAATGACCGAGTAGACGCAAATGACAAGGATAAATTTACATATGTGAGGGATGTACTCGAACTATCTGGATTTAGTGGGAATGAAACGCTTGGCACGTGGCATGCGGATGACCAGCCATTGGATCCTTTGGTGTCTGAGGTAGTCAGAGACTGCATTTTCTGTGATCCCCATTGTTCCAGGGATGAAGAAGTTGGTTACTGTAATCACCCACTTTTGTTTGATCTAATCAATGAGGTATTGATGGAGCTTTACGAAAGATCATACAGTTATTGTCCCAGAGTTTTATCTTCATTATGCCACATCAGTCCGATGCCAGTAGGACACCGAGTTCTTAAGGAAGTATGGGCAAACATAAGCTGGTACTTGAGCTATGAATCTGGATTTGATAAGCCATTGGATTATGTTGCCAGTAGAGATCTAACAAGAAGTGATGGGTGGATGAACCTACAGTTTGAAAATGAGTGCCTAGGACTTGAGCTTGAAGAGTTAATTTTTGACGATCTCTTGGAGGAACTTATCTTAGACTTGATGGCCTATGCTTGATCAGGTTCATTCTTATTAGAATCATCTTCACTAGCATTAAAAAATTTTGTAACTTGATTGATTTTGTAATTAATACTTGTTTTACCCAAACTCCGAAAGAGATTATGCAAAATATAAGGAAATAGTTACTGGTCGTTTCATTCATACACCTTGTAAAATCAGTGACAAGTGGGAAATACTACTAATAAATTTGTGTATACAAAAATAATTAATGTTAGAAAGGTACATAAAGAGCCTAAAACATGTTATATATAGTTGCCTAGTTCCAGGGTTTTATGGATCTTCATCCCAAGAAGATTCTGTTTCTAATCCTGTCTTACGCTCTGCTGTAACTTTACATAACAAGGAACTCTAGCGAACATTAAGATTTAGTCGAGGTTGAAGGTTTAATCTTTGAATTTCTCAATAATAATCGCACCCTCAACGAGCAACAAAGCCCGTCTAGCTCAGTCGGTAGAGCGCAAGGCTCTTAACCTTGTGGTCGTGGGTTCGAGCCCCACGGTGGGCGTATGTTTTCATTCCGTACCTTTTTGTTCTGCAGCTCAACTGATCAAGATTGCCATCCCATCCAGGTCCAGGCAAACAGACAAAACACATCCAATGAAAAATCGACGCTGCTGCTTCCACAATAAATCAACTTCACCAAACAGCATTTGCGTGACCATTGACCTAACACATCCTATCCTATCTTACCCTATCATTAAAGTCTGGAGAATCTAAAAACTGCAAATTTGATGTCTCTTTTTGCCAAGCGCTTAATTTTTACATGCATATTCATTCAAAAAGCTTGTTTTTTTTTTTTTTAACTTCTGTAATCCAATAAGCAGCATTCTGATGAAACCTTTGATTCTGTCATGGCAAAGTAAACAGATAAATGGGGCTGGGTGCTTCTTGATTCTGTCATAAAGACATAAAAAATCTTTGATAAACAAAGAGATTGTTAATGTTTCTTTGCAGTGCAAATTAAACTCAAATGTTAAAAACATGCATATATGGGGCGAAAGAAGACGCATGGGATGTCAAAGTGATTGTTCCAAATGCAGTGATCAAATTAAAGTGAAAGGAAGTGCTTTCAGAAATGATAAGTGATTGAACTTGTTGCCTTGCCCTCCATATCAAAAGATTAGTCTCACATCCACACCAATCGGGCTCAGTTCATTTTGGACCCACCAAAATAGCAATACCGACTGTGGCTGCGTTTTGCTACCTATTCGTTTAGCCCTTGTCGGATGAGACCCTTCACTCTTATGGCTAAGAGGGAAAAAATAAAATAATCAAAACCGTCCACGCATGGTGCACTGAGGGAAAAGATTCGAAGATAGGTAAAAGAGAGGGAAGCCTCAGCCAACCTTTTTGCCAAGAAGTGCATAAGAGAATCAAAAGGATTTCTTCATTATTTGCCAATTTCTAACTTGAACAAAGAAAAATGAACAACTTGGTTATACTGCCGGGGGAAAAATGCCCTAAAAATACTCGTTAGGCCATTGGTGACCTCAGAAAAGGGGCATACGACTATGAGAGTGCTTCATTATTAACTTTTAACCGTCTCATCCGTTGACAGATTAGTGAAAGGTCATTTTCTACCCTTACTGTTTAATGTTACAGATTTAAGGAAAAATTTGAATCATACATCAAACATAATAAAAGGGTCATTAGGGTATAAAAAGGTTCACACTACCTCTTTTTTGTGAGACATTTTTTGTAAGACAAAACCGTAAGATCAAGGAGGTCAAAGCGGACAATACCTCACAAGAATGTGAATCGTGACAGTCAAACTGATCTAGGACGTCGGATGACTAGATGCCCAGGTCTCGGAGCTGCACGGGTTCGGAGTTTAAGTTTCGACATGTGATAAGTGGTATCAAAGCCAGTCCTAAACCGTTCGATCCATGCCAAGCGCTTCGAGGAAGGTAGGCAGGGTGGCCAGCCTCCATGACGAGGGTGTCACGAGGTTGGGTGAAGGAAAAACCTAAAGAGGAGTCTTGAATCTCACATCGAATATAAAATGAGGGTCACTGAGGTATAAAAGGGTTCACACCATTTCTTCCTTGTGAGGCACCTTTTGTAGGACTAAACCGTGAAGTCAGGGGGCCAGAGCAAACAATACCTCACAAGGGTATGAATCGTGGTAAGTAGACTGATTTGAGACGTCAGATGAGTGGATGCTCGGGTCCTGGAGCCGTACAGATCGGAGTTTAAGTCTCGACCTTCGATAAGTGGTATTAGAGCCGACCCTAAACCATTTGATCCACGCCAAACATCTGGAAGAAGGTAGGCAGGATGGCCAGCCTCTGTGACGAGGGCGTCACGAGGTTGGGTGGGAGAGAATGTCATGGAGTTCTAAATCTCATATTGAACATAATAGGAGGCTCATTGGGGTATGTTTGATCCACGCCAAACGTCTCGAAGGAGGTAGGCAAGAGGTTAGGTGGGGGAGAATGTCATGGACCTAAGAAAGAGTCTTGAATCTCACATTGAACATAATAGGTAGGCAAAAGGTTAGGTGAGGGAGAATATCATGGACCTAAGAAAGAGTCCTGAATCTCACATTGAACATAATAGGAGGCTCACTAGGGTATAAAAGGGTTCACATAACTTCTTTCTTGTGAGGCATCTTTTGTAGGATAAAACCGTGAGCCCAAGGACGCTAGAGTGGATAATACCTTATAAGAGTATGAATCGTGACAATCAGATTGATCTGAGACGTCGAATGAGTGAATGTCCGAATCTCGAAATTATATCGATTTGAAGCTTAAGTCTCGACCCGTGACACTAACACCTATATAATTTCATCTACATACTATTTTTTTGTGCAATACGGACAAAAAGAGAATTACTTATTTTGTTAAAAATGTTTGCGGTATTTCAAGAATAAATGGTAAAATTTAAAAAAAAAAAAAACTGAAGAAAGATAAAGATACTTCTGATATTAACATGAAAAATGAAAAAAAAAAAAAAGGAAAAGAAAGAGAACAAAAGAGGAAGAAGAAAGAGTTTTTCTCAATGTTGAGGACAATAAAGGGTTTTTCTGGCATTGACTAAATTATTAAAAAAAAAAAAAAAGAAAAGATGGAAGGTTTGGAAGAAGGGTGAACAAATATGGAAAAACAAAGTAGAGAATGAAGGGAGGAAAATAGGGAAACATGCAGATTTTTTTTTTTTAATTTTGATTATAATATATGTGTGAGGTTTGGTATGTTTGGGATTCTTTTGAAATTGATTGTGCCATTGGTTTGGGGAGAAACATAAAAGATAAGTAAGTTTTTTTAAAAATTTCTCCTAAAAAACCTTTCGTTTTCTCTCAAATTTACCTTATGTATTTCTTTGTAATTGTTTATAGTTGGGTTTGATTTTTTTTTTTAGATCAATAATCAGTTCGATTTTGATTAGTTTATACTTAAAATTTTTTCTGATTTTGAGTTTTTGCTTTTGATTTTGTATTTTTAGACATTTTATATTTTGTCTAAGCAGCTAAGATAATGTTGAGAAAGTCTACTATTGGCTCACGGGTTCAGAATTGAAAAGCAAGGAAGGATTTTTTTTTCATTTCTTTAAATAGAAAGTTTTTTTATTTTTAAATTATTTTTTAAAACTATTTTAATATCTTCGAGAATCTTCTACATTAATTTTTTTTTTCATTCTTATCTCTTTGAAGACGTGCATTGTTGATTGGATGTGAAGGCTTTTATCGGATAAGATTGATTTTCAGGAAGTAGAAAAAGAAGGATAGATACGAGTTTTTTATATTAATAATTGGTTATTTCAATAGATTAAATTTATTTTTTTTATAAAATAAAGTTTGAATTTGAATTTTATTTATGATTATTTGTTAAAATTATTTTAAATGTATAATTTTTAATTTTTAATTTTAAATTATTAATTACAATATATTTTATTTTAATTTAAAAAATTAAATAAAAATTTTTTTATAAAAAAAAATGATATGAGTTCTCTGTAACGTCAGAGGTTTTCCATCAACCTTCTTTAATTTTACTTTCATTTTAGTTTTCTTTTCTTATTTATATTACATTCAATTTCATTAATTTTTTATTATGCTTTACGTTTTTTGTTCTTTAAATTTTTTGTACGAATTTTTTCCTGATTGCTTCCTTTTTAATTTTTTTTTAGTTTGATTGTAGGGAAAGAATTTATCTTGATTGAAACAAGAGCATGGAATTTTTAATTAGATATAACGAAAATAAATTGACTATTTTTTTTAGTAATATTTTTTATTTTTTTTAAATCCTTTTTTTTACTTAGTCCATGTGATGGTTTATCAAATTTATCATGATTTTATAATTTTTTAAATTTACAAGTTCTTTTTTCATTCATTTTATTTCATCAAATTTTGAAGTATATAAGTAAATAAAGGTAAACTCATCTTTGATCTATTTCTTTAATTTTTTATTTTTTCTTGAAATAAATTTAAGTTTTTTTTTTTTAAGAAAATTGAGTCATGAGCAAAAAAGAAAAAAAAAAAACAGAATAGTAAAAAAAAAAAAAAGGAGCGAGGAGGTCAATGTAGGCTTATCAAAGGACAAAGGGAGGTTGGTAGGATAGAAAAAGAAAAATATGTAAAAAAAATTTTTGCTAATATAAAATTTCGGAGAATTTAAATTTTGATAAATTTTTGTATTTTATTGCAACTTTTTGCAGATTCTAAAATAGAATTGACACACAACTTAAAGGTATGTTTTATATGTTTATTTTACTCTTGACTGAATTATTTTATAAATTGATAAAATTTATAATATTATTTTTTTATCTAACAATTTAAAACGTTTTTTATTTATGTGTTTTTAGTTACATTTATTTCACTGCATTTAAATACTTTTAAAACTTTCCATTATTATTACCATATATCATTATAATAATATAAAATATTAAATTACCATATACCATTGTAATAGCATAAAATGTTAAATCAATGCGAAGTTGATTTTCACTTTTAAATTTACGTGATTTCAAAATCAATAATTAATGTAAGAGATACATTCGAGTTACAAAAATATGTAAAAATTTACTTAAGTTACAAAACAGTAAAAAATAATCTAAAAATTATTGAATTGAAAAATATTTATTTACTAAGTAAAACTTATTATCATTAACTTTATAAAAAATAATATTTTGTAGCTTAATATTCATATGCGTAATTCATTTTATCAC